GGTTTCACTACATAGATCTGACTCATAGTGATCCTCCTGTTTTCAGCCCCACAAATGCTGGGATTACAGGCCTGTGCCACCATGCCCAATCTCAGTGTGCCCTGGGGGTGGGGTGGCACTGCATTCCGGGGATTGAACCCTGGCCACTAAGCTCTGCCTAAACAGGTGCTTTAGTTCACTTTTTTCTTTTTTAACTTTGTGTTTAGACTTGAGAATCAGCTTGCTTCTCTCCTTAAAACTGTTTTGGGAGGATTGGGTTTTGAGAAAAGGTTTTACTATGTAGAACACCTGGAATTACAGTCATGCGCCAACACAACCAATTTTAAATTATACTTCAAGTTTGGAGTTGTGAGACTCTAAAGATCAATTTAAAAAAAAAATTATTTTTTTTTTTGATGGAACTGGGGATTGAACACAGGCCCTTGTACTTTCCAGGGAAGCGCTTATTCTACTGAGCCATCTCCCCGGCCCTAAAGATCAATAGTGAGAAATACTATATTTAGTATGTTGAATGTTACAATTCATGTATATATCTCACTATTTACTTAGGTTTTTTTTTTTTTTTTTTTGGCGGAACCGGGGATTGAACTCAGATCCTTGAGTTTGCCAGCCAAGCGCTTATCCTACTGAGCCATCTCCCTGGCCCCTTTACTTAGAATTTTTTAAATTCTTTCACTGAGATGAAATTTTCTGCAGGCCTAACATTTTATTAAATTTAAGCCTAATATTCTCTTTTGTTGTTATATTAGTTCTGGGAATTGAACCCAGATATATCCCAAGTCATTTTTTTTTAATTTTATTTTTTTGCCATGCTGGGGATTGAACTCAGGACCTTGCGCTTGCCAGGCAAGTGCTTATTCTATTGGACTATCTCCTCGACTCACTGAGCTATCTCCCCGGCCCTTGATTTTTATTTTAGGTTGCCAAATGCCTCAGGCTGGTTGAACCTTGTGACCCCCTCACCCCCGCCTTGGCTCCTCAGAGTACTGGGATCACTGGCACGGGGTGGGGAAGTTCCCTCATGAGTCCTAATTTATTGACAGGGTTTTTCAGAGATGGATGTTGAATTTTTACTCTTTTTTTTTTTCTTTTTTGTGGAACCGGGGATTGAACTCAGACTCTTGTGCTTGCCAGGGAAGCGCTTATTCTACTGAGCCATCTCCCCTGGATGTTGAATTTTGTCAATTTTTTTATTCATTTGAGAAAGAATTTTACTATGCAGTTCAGTGTGACCTTAAACACGCTGTGTAGCCCAGGTTGGCCTTGAACTCATGGTGATGCTCCTGCCTCAGTCTGCTGGTTGCTGAGATTACAGGAGTACACTACCAAGTCCAGCAACTTTTCTTTTTTTTGTATGAATTGATGATAAGTTAATGAGATTATCCTTACTTAGACCATTGATATAGTTGATTACCTTGTTTGTTATTTATTTATTTATTTGTTTGCAGTACTGGGGATTGAACTTGGGACTGTGAGCATGCTAGGCAGGTGCTTATGCCACTGAGCAGTCTCCTGGCCCCCCTTGTTTGATATTTTTTAGTGTTAAAATGGTCTTGCATGCCTGGAATAAATCTCATTTGGGCATGGAACATGACTCTTTCCTTGTATTGCTTCATTCCTTCTTTGTCAGTATTGCTAAGATTCATAGTTTTATTGATATTTCAAAAAAAAGTGTGCTTTGAGATTGGGCGTGGTGACGCATGTCTGTAATCCCAGCACTGGGGAGGCTGAAAACAGGAGGATCGGTAGGAGTCTGAGTTGTGTAGTGAGACTCTGTACCAAACACATTTTAAAAAGATGAGCTTCTGGAAGGCTTTCTTTCGTACCAGGGATCAAACTCAGGACCTTGTGCTTGTCAGGCAGGCGCTTATGCTATCTCCCTGACCTTTTTTCCTGAGACTCAGAATTTCTGTGTAGCCCAGGCTGGCCTTGAACTCTCTGCAGTCCTCCTGCTTCAGCCTCCTGAGTGCTGGGATGATAGGCATGAGCCGCCATGCATGATGTGGGATACTATTATTAAACAAGATAAAGAGAATAAGGGAGAGGATGGAGGGTAATGGGGAATGAATATATGTTATATGCATGTTTCAAAATTAAACAATAGCCGGGTAGATAGCTCAGTAGAAGAAGCACTGGCCTGGCAAGCACAAGGCCCTGAGTTCAATCCCGAGTACCTCAATAAATAAATAAACAATAAAAAACAATTATGCTTTTTGATTTATACATTTTTCCTTTCAGTTTTGTCAATTCATGTGCTAATATTTACTGTTCCCTTTTGCTTGCTTTGAGTTTATTTTTTCTATCTTTTCTCAGTTGTCTTCAAGTTTACTGGTCAAGTTGTATAGTCTTCCATACTCCTACAAACCCATCTAGTGTATTTTCATTTCAGGTACAGTAGTTTTCAGCTTTAGGTTTTCCATTTTTGTCATTTTAAAATGACATACTTACTAGGTATGGTGGCCTACACTTGTATTCCCAGCTATGGCAGGAGGATCATAAGTTCAACGCCAGCCTGGGCATTTAGTGAGAGCCTGTCTCAAACAATAAAAAGGCCTGCACTAGTGGCTCAGCTGTAGAGCACTTAGCTTACTTGTGCAGGACCCTGCATTGGATCCCTAGCATCGTACGGAAGCCCATTTCCGCTCGAGTCTCCATCTGAAAATCAGTATGATTGTTTTCCTTTAAGGCCTTCCATGTTTCTAATTCACAGCTTTACCCCTTTGTGTGGTAGTCACAACATGGCTGCTATCTTTTTTTTAAAATTTTATTCATTTATTTATGTGTGTGTGTGTGTGTGTGTGTGTGTGTGTGTGTGGCCAGCTCAGCCCACCAGGGGGCTGGGCTGGCTGGCATGTGGTGCTGGGGGATTGAACCGTGGTCCCTGTGCTTTGCTTAGCTTGTTCTAAGTAGGTGCTTTAGACCACTGAGCCATCTCACCAGCCCCCATGGCCGCTATCTTTAGATCTTTGCCTATTGACTGCCTCCCTCACAGTAGTGGTTCCATTTTCCTGTTTCTGTAAGTCCATCAATCTTTTGATTGTGTGCTAGACCATGAGGATAATCCATTTTAGGGACCTGGGTTCTGCTATATCCTTTGAAGAATTTTCCCATTTATTTTATCAGGAAGTGACATTCCTGGCTACTTGCCTTGTTCTGGGGGTACACTGGGAATATGCTTGGTCATTAGTCCGTTTCAGCTTTCCCTTAGTCTTGAGCAAGTCCTTGCTCCAGGGACAAAATATTTATTCCTAAACTGTGGTCCCTGCTTTTACCGAAAAGCTTAAGATGAGCTCCACACCCCTTTAATTTGACAGGATTCAAGTGAAAAACTGCTCTGTGGTGAGCACTTCTGAAATCCCTGTCTGGCTTTGGAGCTCCCTACATGCATGTTGGGCTTCATATATTACATGCATAAATGTGTATAGTATATACATTTATTAAATTTAAATGTATCTATGAAATACCTGTTGTATTCACATACAGTAATGAAATACATATTTGGGTGTCACAGTGACTATGAATGTTCACAGTTAGCTGAGACTGGTTATATATATATATATATATATATATATATATATTTTTTTTTTTTTTTTGGTGGTATCGGGGTTTGAACTGAGGACCCTGTGCTTTCCAGGCAAGCACTTATTCTACTGAGCTATCTCCCGTATATATGTCTCTAGACCTTGTAAAAAGGTTCTTCCTGAGTGCATTCCTTAGGTGGACCTATTATATATTTGAATGATTGTTCCAGATCATATTTTAGAGGACTTATTGTTACATGAATGACTTTTTGTAACTCAGGCTGGTTCTGAACTCCGCGTAGTACAGGCTGCCAGGAGGGCTTGAATTCATGGCGATCCTCCTGCTTCAGGCTCCCGAGTGCTGGGACTGCAGGCGTGTGACACTACACCTGGCTCTTCACAAAAAAATCTGATATTCTTTACTTATTTCAAAATTACTGCACTGTACATGCAGGTGCTTGACAAATTTATTTTAGACTTCTCACTCAAGCCCTCCCTCCAACTGAAGAATATTTTTACCTCAGCTCTAAATCCCAGACGGGGTGGGGGCGTGGCTTGGTGGTAGAGCACCTGCCTAGCCTGCCAGGGACCCCGGGTTCAATCCCCAGCACCAAAACCAAACCAAAGCAAAGACGTCAGAATTCTTCCTCTCCGTCCTTCATCAGAACCACCTCCTCTAGATCCCGAGGAAACTAAACTGCGTGAGTCCCAGCTCTGCAACCATTTGTTCATTAATGAATTCTGGGAATGTAGAACTTCAAAGTCACTTTTGGTCAAAGGGCGCCAGGACTCTCCTAACAAAGCTCATCTCTACTTGGGTTTGGAGACTAAGGACAGAGTGCGGTAATCCAGTCGCCGGCTCGGGCCCTTGCATCCTCTCCAACTGATCGATTAGGTCACCAGTTTACACAGAGCGTGGGGCCCAGGTTGTCAGCAACCGAGCTAATCTGTTAGGGGTGAGGGGACCGCGTCGCTTAGCCGCAGCTGGCATCGGCCAAAGGTAAATGTCTGGGACTTCAGTCTGTTCCTTGCAGTCGACGTAAAAGTAGCTGGGCAAGTGACATCTAGGAAGGGGGGGGGGGTACCAGGGAGGGATGGGGGAGGAGAGAGAGGAAGGAGGAGGAGGAAGGGGAAGATGAAAGAAAGGTGCGGACTCATCGTCATTTGTGCTGTTTTGTGCGTGTGTCCAACCCCCGCAGTCGAACCCAGGGTCCGGGGTGCGATCCGAGCCACCTGCTGCAGAGACACGTGCCCTGGGAGTAGGTTTTGAAATTCCCCTAGGATCTGTGTGTTCTTACAAGAGCGTGAAGTCAAAGGTGATTTCATAAAAAGATCCCAAGGGACTTGGTCGATTGCAAAATCAACGAGCAGAGGTCCGGGTTTCTCTCGCCTCCACCCGGGCGCGGCAGTGGGCGTGGCTTCTGGAGGTCCGCGAGCGCTGCGCCCCGCCCCCTCTGCCGAGAGGAGGCGCCCGCCGCGCCGCCGGAGAGGAGGCGGAGGCGGCTCTGGGCCGCCCCGGGGCGAGGCCAAGCCTTCCTCCGGGCCGGCTCTGCAGAGTTGAGGCTGGTGTCTGCAGTTTAAAAGAAAGGCACATGCAAAGCTGCTCGGAAAGCGCCCCACGTATCTGCAGATCTCGCTCCAGAGCCGGGTGAGGGCTCTGGCGCCGGCCCAGGTCCCCTGCTCCAGCTCCGCGCCGCCGCGGGCCGTGCACAAGGGAAAGTCGCAGCCGCGGGCCACGGTAAGTCACGGCCACTCGCGTCGCGAGCGCCCACCCATTTGCCCAGCCTCGGGTCGGACCTCTCCGCTGCAACGCTCGTGTCTCCTGGCTGGGATTGGTAAATCGCTCCCTGGGAGTAACAGGCTTTTCGTTAGCTTAGTTTTGGAGAGCTTCGCTGGCTTTATGCTTCCAGGGCAGGTTCGCAAACAGCATGAATGAATGATGCAACATCGCCAGGGGGAACGTCAGTACCACCGCCGTAGCCGAGGCTCTGACTTCGTCATCTCTAGAAGTAACATTTTGAACAAACACCTGCTATGCTGTTCTGAAGACAGCTTCAATCGGAAACTAAGTCCTTCCTTCCTTGATTTTTGTACTTTTTATTTGTATATGATTTGCGTGTTATAGTTGCACTTCGAATATTTGGCGACTAGAGTTGTGAGGGTCAAGGGAGAAAATAAATTCCGTGATTTCATTGTTTTGGTAAGATTGCTGGGTAGGTTTTTACTATGATGAGGCTGTCACTTTCATAATGGTGGTGAAATAGAACTAGTTAGGACTTGAACATTTTTCAAAGAATTTGACACACGCCTTTTTTTTTTTTTTTTTTTTTTCCTTTCCAGTACTTGGGGTTAAACCCAGGGCCTTTGAACTGAGCTACGTTCTTAGCCTTTTTTTTTTTTTTTTTCATTTTTAATTTGGAGATGGGGGTCTCCTCAAATTACTAAGCTGCTAAGGCTGGCCTCGAACTTGCAACGCTCATCGCGCTGTCCTGGCAACATGGCAGCACAGTGAGGCCTGACTCAAGAAATTAAAAAGAGGGCTGCGGACAAAGCTCAGTGCTAAAGCCCTGTGTTCAATCCCCGATACTGAAAAAAAGTTTTTTTTTTTTTTTTTTTTTTTTTGGTGGAACCAGGGATTGAACTCAGGCCCTTGCGGTTCTGGCAAGCGCATATTCCACTGAGCCATCTCCCCAGCCCCTTGAAAAAAAGTTTTTAAACCAGTGTATTTTGTGTTTTGTTTTTCTGAGACTGGGTCTGGCTGTATACGTCAGGCTGGCCTTAAATTCACTGTGTAGCCCAGGCTGGCCTCGAACTTATAGTCATGTTCCTGCCTCATAAACCAATATGTTATTCATGTATAATTTAATGCAAAAAGATGCACCTAGTTTTTACTTTTGGAGTCCAGTCTGTCTTTGTTATTTTTCTTCTCTGTGCCCGTTGTGTTTCACTTAGGAAAATTTTTTCCACCTTAAGGTTGTTGTAGTAACTGTGTATTGCTGTATAACAAATTATCCTCAGATGGAGTCACTGACAACCAAATACACTTACTTTCCTACAGTTTCTGTGCCTCAGAACCCCCTCACCCACTCAGGTGGGAGCCACTCACCAGGGTGGTATCTCCAGACGTTCCCATTGGTGGAAGCAGACTCATCTCACTGCGTGGGTGGACAGATGGCTTCCTGGCTTACTTCTGTGGTTCTTGGCCTGATGCAGCTTCCCAAGGACTGCTGGACTCAAGACCTCAGCTCCCTGCTGGCTTGACTGGCAGCCCTTAGTTTCTGGTAGTTGTGATAGGTGAAACTTTCCATAGGCCACCTCATACCATGGTAGCTGCTGTACCTTAGAGCAAGAGGCCCTGAACTGACTGTGTAGCCCAGCCTGACCTGGGACTCATAGCAATCCTCCTGCCTCAGCCTCCCAAGTGCTGGGATTAACATCCAATTTTATTTATTTATTTATTTATTTATTTATTTTGTATTTTTTAGGGAAGGGTCTATAGGGTGTTCAGGGTCTCAGTACTAGATTGGATGCTTAGTGATCCGCCTGTTTACAGCTTCCCAAGAGCTGGGATTACAGGTGCATGCCACCACGCCCAGTCTCTAACAGTAAATTTTAAAATAGTACTGGGGATTGAATCCAGGGCTCATTCATGCTACACAGGTGCTCTGCCTCAGAGCTGCATCCTCAGTCCTTTTAAAATTTGTTTTGCTGTTGAAATAGGGTCTTGATAAGTTGTCAAGGATAGCCATAAAGTTGTGATCCTCCTGCTTCAGCCTCCCTAAGTAGCTGGGATTACATAACCATCACACCCGTCTTTCACAACAAAGTTGAAATAATTACAGATTGAAAGAAGGTTACAGAGATCCACAAGTAAACCCACACCTCCTTCCTCCCCAAGCTCCTTGCTTCGATGGCACCACACCAGGGAGTTCACACTGCACAGCCCACAGGGTTTATCCAGATGTCACTGTAATACATGCACTCTTTTGTGTTACAGTCTAATTTCACAAGGGACAGCCTACACTGAGAGTCACTATTCCAGTCCACAGTGAAGATGTGGCAATCACAGATGGCTCAAAGGGAGCCTTTTAGAAGTCACCGATCGTTAGGAATTTTTCCACCTATATTTTATTTTATTTTGAGACAGGGTCTCTCTGCAGCTCAGGCTGGGCTTGAAGTCATCATGATCCTCAGCCTCAGCCTCCCGAGTGCTGGATCACGGGTGTGCGCCACCATACCCAGCTCCCCTATGTTTCAGGAATTTCGTAGCTTGAGCTTTTGTGTTTAGGGATGTGATTCATTTCAAGTTCATTTTTGTTATTGGACTGCAGGTCAGGGAACAATATACATTTCAAGATTTATTACACTGCCAGGTAGATTTCTGTAATTATCTCTTTCTTTTTCTTTCTGCATTTGGACTTGTAGTGATCCTCCTGTTTTCAGCCTCCCCAGCGCGGGATTACAGGCGTGCACCACCGTGCCAGGTCTCAGTGGCTGGCTTAGTGCGCCCGGGGCGGGGCCGGCGTAGCACGTGGTGCCCGGATCAGACCCAGGTGTGTGCCGAAGCAGGAGCTTAGTCTGCTGAGCTATCTCACTGGCCCTAGTCCTGTCCTTTACAAGTGGGTCAAACAAAACAGCAAGGACTTCTTAACTTTTCATATGATTTAACACATGCCCAATTAAAAAAAGGTCAACTAGCAATCAGTGTGGGTATTCCCAATTAGAGAACAGAAATAGGGTAGGTGTTTGTTACTGTACAGTTCTTTAAGATGTAAATGGTATCAAAGGAAAAAGTAAACTATATTAAAGAGGTACAGTAAATTAGCTGGTCATGATGCTGCACAGCTATAATCCAAGCACTTTGGGGGGCTGAGGCAGGAGAATCCCAAGTTCAAGCCCAGGCTGGGCAACTTAGTGAGACCCTGTCTCAAAATAAACATTTAAAAAGGGCTGGACAGGTAGCTTGGTGCAAAAGCTGTGGGTTCAATTTCAGTGCTAAAAAGAAGGGGAGTGGGAACTGACCGTGGTTTCCAGGGAGGCCACGGCCGCACCTCTGCTGCCCCTGGGGGGCAGAGTACCATCTATGCCCAGTGGGGTGTGGAGAAGAGCGCCTGACTTGCCTCCGTCTGTGCTTCAAGGGCACTCTGTACTTGCTGGTGTGTGAGAAGGTCAGGGACAGATGTGTGCTCCAGGTTCGTGGCCCTGTTGCTCCATCCTGGCTCTCTTTGTCTTTTGATCTTCATTTGCTTTTTTCTGGTCTTAACCATTTTCTAAAATGCTTCCCTCTTTCTGAGATTTAGGATCTTTATCCACTTATTTATTTTTTGCGGTATTGGGGATTGAACTCAGAGCCTTGCGCCTGTCAGGCAGGCGCTTATTCTACTGGGCTATCTCCCTTCACTTACATTTGCAGTTTTTAAAATTGTTGTTTTAGTTTCTTTTTGCACTGGGGATAAAAGTAGCTACATCCTTGCTACTTTTATTTTTTATTTTGAGATAGGCCCTCACTAAGTTGCTCAGGCTGGCCTCCAATTTACCACCTTCCTGCCTCAGCCTCCCAAGTAGCTGGGTTATAGGCATGTGTCATCATATTTTTGCTTTTTTTTTCTTTTTGAGACAGGGGCTCACTGTGCAGTTCAGGCTGGCCTTGACCTTACTTTGTAGCCCAGGCTGACCCTGAACTTATAATGATCCTCCTGCCTCAGCCTCCCAAGTTCTAGGATTACAGGTGTGTGCCACTGCACTCAGCTACCCCTTGCTCTGTATTTTCAATTTTATCAATGAAGATTATAACTCAAAAGTTGTTTGCTCTGTCCCCTTATTGCTGGGAAGCAGCATTTTTTTTCTGATTCCTCTTTGAATGCTCTTAACTTTGCTCCTTAATTTATTTTTCAGTTTTGGGACCACACCCAGGCCTTGCACTTGCTAGGCAAGCGTTTCATTGTTGCACTATACCCCAGCTCTTTCCCCTTATTTTGAAAACAGCAGAGACCGCGTGAGGCGTCTGTAGTGTCCCCGCCCGGCTTCTTTGTGTGTCTGCATGGTATTTCCCAGGGGGCGCGCTTTCCCCTGCCTCACAGGTGGAGGTGAGCTCCTGGTAGGCCGGACCCTTCTGTAGGATCGAAGTCAGAGAAGTGCTTCCCAGCGGAAGCAGCATCAGCAATCTCCGCATTGGAACAGTTTTTGTAGCAGTCCTTCTAGGAGGGGCAGCGGACCTGGCAGTCCCGACTTCTTGTCCTTGCCTGGACCTTGATGTCTGTCTCCTCCTCCTTGCTTTCTAGGCTCTTGCACAACCCACAGATTGTTCTTAAAGGAACCAGTAGTCACAACTGTGTATGCTGTGCTTCTTTGCCTCAGCAAAGGAACAAGAAGATAAGAGCATCGTCTCCTAGGAAGCCGGCGCTGGAGAACAGTGAGTCCTTGATGTTTTGTATTTGGTGGTCTATTAGCAGTTTACTTGTCACTCAAGTGAAAAAAAAAATTGCTGTAATAAGCCCAGTACTCAGGAGGCTGAGGCAGGAAAATTGCTGTAAATTCAAGGCCAACCTGGGTTACATAGTGAGACTGTCTAAAAAAAAATTGCTGTAAAATGTGATACACATGTACAACCTCAGGTTGCCTAGAGAGTGGTTTCTTTCTTTTTTTTTTTTTTTAAATATTTATTTATTTATTTATTTATTTATTTATTTATTTATTTACGTGTGTGTGCGTGTGATTTATTGTCTGTGTGGCCAGCTCAGCCCACCAGGGGGCGGGGCTGGCTGGCATGTGGTGCTGGGGGATTGAACCGCGGTCTCTGTGCTTTGCTAAGCTTGTTCTAAGTAGGTGCTTTAGACCACTGAGCCATCTCACCAGTCTCGAGAGTGGTTTCTTTAATCATAAACTACAGCCTTAGTGCAGAGGGAGCCCAGCCTTGCAGGCAGGAGGCTCTGATCCTGATCCAGAAGGTTCTCAGGCTTATTGTGTACTGTTGGGGCTGGGGTGCTCCTAGGCTCGGCCTGCTACCAAAGCCAGGTAAACTTTGTTCTCTCTGTTGAGCTTAAGCCTTGACACTGTGTTGTTTGTTATATGTTCTTGTATGGGTAGGGGTAAGAGGTTAGTTCCAATAAAAGGAAAGGGAACTCATCTGATCTTGGGCACCTCTCATAAGAAACTAGATGAACAATTTGGTGGGCAGGGGATAGAACTCATTGGCACAGTGCCCACCTGGCAAGCATGAGATTGTGAGCTTGATTTCCAAGATTAAGTGAAAGTTGGACCCCCTGTGGCTGGCCCAGAAGGAAAACTTGGGTTTTTTGTTTTGTTTTGTTTGAGACAGTCTTGCTATATAGTTCAGGCTGGCCTGGACTCACTGTGTAGCCCCTGGCTGGCCCTAAATGTACAGCGATCTTCTTGCCTCAACCTCTCCAGTGCTGATAGGCATGTGGCTCACAAAATCTGGTTTTGTACTTTGGAGCTAGGATAAGAAATGCTTGTCAGCATAGTTTCTTTTCTTCTTCTTTTAATCTGTTGGACCAGCTGGGAGCCAGGGAGCTGGAGTCCTGCCCCCAGCCACAGGGGCCTGCACTGGGGCTGGCCTGTGTGTGACCTCCCACCGGCCCCAGCCCTTTCCTCCCACCCTCTCCCAGTCCTGTCCTTTCCTTCCCCTCCGAGCAGGACAGGAAGGATCCAGAGTCCATTCCAGCAATGATTTTTCTTTGTGTGACATTCTAATGTACACAGCTGACTTAGGCAGCTGCACTTACCAGACAGTCTCCCCCAGCCCATGAACATTTTGAATATTCGAGTGTGTGAGTCAGAGCTGCCAAAGACAGGAGAAAGAGGAACCTGCGGTGAGCAAGGAAGGACACAAGATTTTCAAGAGCACATCATGGTCCCAGAATTCCGCTTGGAGTCCTGGAGTGACTTCCCTGAAATTCAGTATAAGCTTTGTCCCAGGGGCCAGGGAGATGGTTCAGTGGAATAAGCGCTTCCCTGGCAAGTGCAAGGGCCTGAGTTCAATCCCTGGTTCCAAAGGGAAAAACAAAAAAGCTTTGTCCCAAAAACCCTGTTTTTCTGCATCTTTGGGGTCTCCTGCAACCCAGGAGGTTGTGTCCGCCACTCCGGATCCTAAGCCAGGCTTTGTGTTAAGCTACAGGTTTGGACATCATTCTTGCCTTATTTGAGGAAATGTACATTTTCAGGGTCACAGCCACAGCTGGGATGTTCTTGTCTAAGCTATTACTGGTATGAGTGGTGGGAAAGAACCACAGCTACCTGGGTCTTCAAACGTGAGCAATAATTATTGTTTTGATTATATTCTCAATCTCTCTCTCTCTCTCTCTCTCTCTCTCTCTCTCTGTTGATGCTACTGGGACTTGAACCAGGGTCTTTGTACTGAGCTATATCCCCCTTTTCTTCTTTTTGGTTTGTTTTACACAGAGTCTCCCTACATCACTAAACTGGGGCCAGGAAGATGGCTCAGTTGAATAAGCGCTTACCTGGCAAGCACAATGGCCTGAGTTCAATCCCTGGTTCCACAAAAAACAAAAAACAAAACAAAACAAAAAAACCCCTACATCACTAAATTGCTCAACTTTTACTCCTCCTGCCTCAGCCTCTCAGAGTTCTGGGATTACAGGTGTGCCGCCATGTACCCTGCTACCTTTATCTGATTGTCTTAACAGGACTGGGGCCTCCTGAAGACCCTGCTCCACTGTCCTCGCTCAGGCCCTGGCCAGGTTCTGGGGCCTGTGTTGTCCTTTTCCTAGTGCTGAGATTTGGGTGCTTGTTGAAGAGCACCACCCTTTGTTAGTTCTCCCTTTCGCCTCCTACACACTCCCAGAATGCTCCGCGGCCTTCCCTGCATCTCACTGAGCTCCCCACACGAGGCGTGTGAGCTCACCTGTGGCCCACTGCCCCTGCCTGGTGGACCCAGTGCTTCTCAGAGGCCTGGCTGGGAGCCTCAAGTTGGCTCCGCCTCTGGACCAGTGCCACATGGCTGCGGGCACGATGGCTCCCTGGGTCCTGGCTCCATGGGAACTGAGGTTTATGAAACCCGTTTTCCTCTACTGCCTCCCGAACAATGCCGACTCTTGGGGAATAGTCACCCACGCGTGCATGCAGCTGGCACGGTTTCCATCTGAACTCCTGAGAGAATGCTGACATGTCCTGAGTCCGGTGCTTAAAAAAGTACAAGAACAAACCAAAAATGAGTAAGGAGTAATATTCTAAGGGGGTTAGTGTCAATGTCTTTTGCTGTAATAATTTTTTAAAACATCTACCATATTTTTTATCATACCTTGTACATACAGAAAATGAGAATAGAATTAAAGAAATGAGGAAGGGAGCTGGGCATGGTGGGGCGCGCCTGTAATCCCAGTACTAAGGAGGCTGAGGGGAGAGGATCACCTCAAGTTGGAGGCCAGCCTGGGCTATGTGGTGACACACTGTCTCAGGAAAAAAAGAAGAAAAAGAAAGATATAGCACTGATTGTGATGGAAGGGGTAGAGTACATGGGGAGTCCTGTGTTTATTCTCTCATTCTGTATGCATTTGAAGTTTTCCACAGTAAACATTAGAAAATGGTTACTATGAAGATGTCACTATGCTACTCACAATTATACCTTTTTTATTCTTCAACTGCCTGTACTCAATTAAACAGAATCGTGTCAAGTTGCCCAGGCCAGGCTAGCATTGTGATCCTCCCGTCTCAGCCTCCTGGAGTGCTGGGATTACAGTCAGGCACCACTGTACCCGCCTTATTTCAGGTCTTCTGGGTCACATGGTCTCAGGTGTTGAAGTGCGAAAGCTGAATGTAAGGAAATAGACATATAAACATGGTCCCGTTCTGGTACAGGTTATTTGTGGATAGTGAAATTTGAATTCCATGGACTTAAAAAAAACCAAACTGTTTAAAATGGAAAAATCCAACCAGTTTTGTATGGTGCCCATGCCTATAATCCCAGCACTCTGAGAGGCTTAGTCAGGAGGATTGCAAGTTCGAATTCTACAAGTGGGCAAGTTAGCAAAACCCTGTACAGTGGAAAATAACGGCTTACAGGCCTTATGAAGACAAGCGGCCGGCTGGATTGGCATGCGGGCTTAGGCTGTTGGCCTTTGACTTAACAGAGCTTGTTCTTTTCTGGTCAACGCGGGAGTCTCAGATCATTCTGTTAAATGCACTGCTCAGGCAGAAACCAGCCGAGGTGTGGGCTGACTGCCCTGGTTTTAGCCTGGGTCTACTCTGAATCTAGGTTTACCTACCATCTGGGTGGGCCTACACCGGATCTATTAGTGTGTCTGGTGAGCGGCTAGTCTGGGTCACTTTAGGAGTCCTCTCTTCCCAATTCTACTCGTTTTTTGTTATTTTTTTTAAGAAAAATTCAACCTAAATTCTTTCTTTGGTCCCCACCCCCCCCCCTTTTTTTTTTTTTTTGGTATTTAGTACAGGGTGTACAGAGTCCCACTGTGTAGATTGGACTCATAGTAATCCTCCTGTTTACAGCCTCCCAAGTACTGGGATTACAGGCATGCGCCACCACACCCACTCTAAATCACTGGCTCAGCCTGGGGCAGGACCCACATGGCAGGCCAGGCCAGGGGATCAAACTCCCGGCCCCTGCCTAAGTAGGTGATTTTATTCGCTGAGCTATTTGGCCGGCCTAATTTTTTTTTTAAGGGGAGATCTATATTTTCTTTCTTTCTTTTTTTTTAATCATTTTTTTTTCAAATTATATGGTTATATTCAAATACATTTTTTTAAAATTTATTTTATTTATTTATTGTGTGTGTGTGCGGCCAGCTCAGCCCACCAGGGGGCGGGGCTGGCTATGTGGTGTTGGGGATTGAACCGCGGTCCCTGTGCTTTTGTTTAGCTTAGCTTGTTCTAAGTAGGTGCCTTAGACCACTGAGCCATCTCACCAGCCCCAGGAATTTTTTTTTTTTTTTTTTGCAGAACCGGGGATTGAACTCAGATGCTTGTGCTTGCCAGGGAAGCGCTTATTCCACTGAGCCATCTCCCCGGCCCCTATATTTTCTTTTTAATTTATTTATGTGTGTGTGGCCAGCTCAGCCCACCAGGGGGCGGGGCTGGCTGGCATGTGGCGCTGGGGGATTGAACCGCGGCCCCTGTGCTTTGCTAAGCTTGTTCTAAATAGGTACTTTAGACCACTGAGCCATTTCACCAGCCCCTCATTTTTCACTATTCTTGTTTCGTTCTGTTTTTGGTGCTGAGGACTGAACCCAGGGCTTCCAGATTGCTAGGCAAGTGTTCTACTTCTGAGCCAAATCCTTAGCCCTCTCTTCATTTTTCTTTTATCTTTTATTTACAAGCTCGCACTCTTGGTGATCCTCCTGTCTCAGCCTCCCCAGTTCTGGCATTACAGGTGTGTACCACCATGCCAGGTTTCAGTGGCCAGCTCGGCACTGGGCCAGCACAGCATGCGGTACTGGAGATGGAACCTGGGACCTTGAGTTTGCCGGGCAGACACTTAGTCCTTCAAGCTATCTCCCCTGCACCCAAATTCTTTTCAAAGCTCTTGCCTTCCTTCTGCAGCAGCACACCTCCCTAAATTCCTTCCTTTGACCTTCTCATTTCTGTTTTGCTTTTTTTTTTTTTTGCAGTCAGGGTCTGCTCCTGTGGAGCTCAGGCTGGCCCAGAATGTCAAGGGGTCCTGCCTCAGCCTCCCAAGTGCTGCAGCCCAGCCCATTGTTTTGCCCCTTTACAAACCCTGCTCTCTTCGTCTGGTAGGGGGAGACTCTTGCAAGCATGGTTTCCCACTTGGAGCTGAGGACGCTGTTCTGTGCGGCGGACGCTGTGTGCTTCGATGTGGACAGCACAGTGATCCGGGAAGAGGGCATCGATGAGCTGGCCAAGTTCTGCGGCGTGGAAGACGCCGTGTCGGAAATGTAAGGATGGCTCGGTGGGAGGAGGCGGGTGTGGGGCGCAAGTGGGCGCGGGCTCTTGCTCCTCCATGCCCGCTGGCCTGCCTGTGCCCCCAACCCATCCCACGCAGTAACACCTGAGACAAGTGGGGGGCACAGCAGTCCCCGCAGGCAGATGGGCGCAGGGGTGGGGGTGGGGATGTTTAGCTTGGTCGCGAAAAGGAAGGCAGCTCTGGGGGCCTGGGATTGTGAGGCCTCTTCAGGTCACCTGAAGGCCAGATTGGGGCCAGAGGCTCTTGAGATCCTGGGTCAGAGTCCCTCCCTCCCTCCTTTTTTCGAGACAGAGTTTCACTATGTAGTCTAGGTTGATCCTGAACTCACTATGTAGCTCGGGCTGGCCTTGAGCTCTCGGCGATCCTCTTGCCTCAGCCTCTTGAGCATGGGATACCAGGCGTGCGTCTCCGCACCTGGCAAGATTCCTCCCTCCTTTTTGCCCTACTCTGCAGTAGCAGTGCCTTCCTGCGCTGCCACCTGTCATGAGGGCACAGACTGTGCTGAGGTGCACTGGATGTGACAGTGGCCGGCCTTCGGGCCCCTTGTTGGCTTAGGAGAGCTCCTAGCTTCCGGGCAGGGGGTCCCCGTGCTGGGCAGCATGGCTTCCTGTGGTTACCAGAGGCCTGGGCCTTCCTCCCTGAGCTGCACAGTGAGAACCATGTCAACGGGCTGTGGCAGCTTCTTGCTCTGGCGGGACCTTGGGACCAAGCTGCCCAGGGACTGACTCTGGTTCTGCCCTAGGACACGGCGTGCCATGGGCGGGGCAGTCCCCTTCCAAGTGGCACTGGCTGAGCGCCTGGCACTGATCCGGCCATCCAGGGAGCAGGTGCAGAGACTGCTGGCTGAGCACCCGCCACACCTGACCCCTGGTGTGAGGTAAGGCAACCAGGCTCCCCATCCTGGTGTCCTGGGGTCCGCCACGCGGGCCACTGTGCCACGCAGTTCCCTCTGCTGGCATTGGTCCTGCCCAGTTGGCCCTCCTCTCTCCCGGAGGCCCTGAGATTTCCTGGGTTTATTTGAATTTAATTTGATTTCAATTTTGAAACAGAGTTTCACTAAGTTATCCAGGCTAATCTGGAAGTTGTGATCTTCCTGCCTCAGCCTCCTATAGTTCTAGGGTAACAGCAGAGCACCCCGCCCTCCTGGGTATCTTTAACTCATATCTTTCTGGGTTTGTGGCAGAAGAAAATTGTGTAATAAGCAGAAAAGTACCACCCACTCATTTCTTTTCCCTTTTTTGGTACTAGGAATCAAACTCGGGGCCTTGCACATGCCAGGCAGGTGCTGTACCGCTGAGCTTTATCCCCGGCCCTTCACTGTTGATTTCTGAGTGTGTTTAAAGAAAACATAAAACATGAATTAGCCACATTAGTATCTTGTCTGATACAGCTGATGAATGCATGCAGGAGAAAGGATATTTTTCAGTTCTTCCTGTTGTTTATACTAATCCAGCTTGAGTTTTGCATTTCCTATTGCAGGGAGCTGATAAGTCGCCTGCAGGAGCGCGGGGTTCAGGTTTTTCTCATCTCTGGTGGCTTTAGGAGTATTGTAGAGCACGTCGCCTCCAAGCTCAATATCCCAGCAGCCAATGTGTTTGCCAATAGGCTGAAGTTCTACTTTAACGGTAAGACTGGACGGGAACGTGTCCCTTTTCTGTCACACCTGTTGCTCCTTGAGCTGGGCCATGGCTGTTCAGGTCATTATCACATTGCTGGACTGAGGGGTGCTGTGGCTTGGAAGCTTTTGCTGTACAACTGCCTTAGCTCAGAACCTGTCCTAGCTTTAGCGTCCACGTATTCATCTGTCCGTACATAAATGAATTTAAGCGAGGCATGGTGGCATGTACGCCTGTCATCCTAGCACCCGGCAGGCTGAGGCAGGAGGATTGCCAAGAGTTTGAGGCCAGAATGGGCTACATAGTGAGACCCTGTCTCAGAAAACAAAGAGAAAATTGAAAATAAATTGAAATTTCCTTTTCAGTGAAATGATATGTAAACATAGTACATTTGGGGCCGGGGAGATGGCTCAGTAGGATAAGCACTTGACTGGCAAACGCAAGGATGTGAGTTCAATCCCTGGTTCCGCCGAAAAAACCCCAAACATAGTACATTTAATCTAGTTTACTGTTTTGGGGTATGTTGCTGCCTCAGCAAGGTTTTGAAACACTGCACAGGACCTTAGAGGAGGCCTCTGATTGAGCCTGCAGTGTCACGAGCCCATAGAGCCCCTGGCCAAAGGCCTCTGTAGTAGAAAGCAGGGCTTACTTACCTGGGTAGAAGGGGGCCTGGGTTCGGAGACCTTCCTGGGGACCGTTTGGAGCCTGCCTACTCAGTGACATTTACGCATGGATGTCACGTAGGCGTCAAGCTGGCCCCCTTGGTGACCTTGTGCGCATGGTGACACTGTTCTAAATACTCCTTCCAGGTGAATATGCGGGTTTTGATGAGACACAGCCAACCGCAGAATCTGGTGGGAAAGGAAAAGTAATAAAATTTTTAAAGGAAAAATTTCATTTTAAGAACATAGTGATGGTTGGAGATGGCGCTACAGACATGGAAGCCTGCCCACCTGCGGTATGTATCAAGGGGACGCCTTCTCTTCTGGTCGGAATTTTGTTTAAGGCAGCTGACTTAGAACCCTGTGAAGTTTATAGAAGTTAAACAAAAATAGCTAAGATTATTATAAAGCAAAGTAAAAACACAAAACAGCTAAGACAATCTCCTTATGTCAATTGACTTTTTTAAACCTAAGATTGATTGATTGATTGATTGATTGATCTGAGACAGGGTCTTGCTATGTAGTTCATGCTGGCCTTGTGCTCACTTTGTAGCCCAGGCTGTCCTCTGAACTCGCAGTGATCCTCAGCCTCTCAAGTGCTGGGATTATAGACGTGCACACCAACACACCCAGCTAAACCTAAGAAAATGTATGGATAAGGAACCACTACTATTACTTTTTTTTTTTTTTTTTTTTTTGTGACAGAGTCTCGTTATGCAGTTGAGTCTGGCCTTTAGCTTACTTTATAGCCCAAGCTAGTCTCAAACTCACAATAATCTTCCTGCCTCAGCCTCCCAAGTGTTGAAGAACTACTACTATGAAAACTTTTATTGCTGTGTGGTAGCACACTCTTAAAATCCTAGCACTCAGAGGCTGAGGCAGGAGGATCATGAAGAATTTAAGGTCACCTGAAGTAGCGAGATCCTGTCTCAAAAAACAGAGACTTTTATTGACCTTTTGTCCTGTGGCCCAGGCTGGTCTCAAACTTATAGTCCTCCTGTCTCAGCCGCCTAGAGTACTGGGATGACAGCCATGTGCCACAGTGCCCGGCAAAGAAACCACTATTTAAACAAAAGGTCATTTGCAGGTGTGGTGACCTGCCTGTCCTTCCAGCACTTGGGAGCCTGAGGAAGGTGCATCAGTGTGAGCTGGAGGCCAGCCTCAACCACATGGGGACACCCTGTCTCAAAATAATAATAATAAAAAAGATAACAAAGATAATTGACTAAAGATGAGATCATTTAGTAGAATTAATGATGAGGATGTAACTAGAAATTTTAACCATTAAAGTAGAGACACTGACATTGTCCTCTCCTGCTCTGAACAGGCCAGCAACAGGCTCTGAGCTTTAGAGGTGTGGGTCTCCAGCATCCGTGTCTGTCACTTGCAGGCCCAGCAGGGCTGCCCCGGCTTGCAGGGCTGTCTTTGACACTAACCTGGCCCACACGTGTTCCATGCTGCAGTTTTGAACACAACTTTTACCCCGAAGCAGTTTGATTGTAGAAAGCATCTGTGGAGGTTTTAAGAGGGCCGGGCCACACCGTTCTCTTTCCCCCAAGTTCCCACACTGGGTTCCACAGAGGACTGGCTCACCTTTCTAAGTTTATTCCTTCAAATAAAAATACTGCCCTCCGACTGGGTGTGGTGGCGCACGCCTGCAATCCCAGCACTCGGGCAGCTGCACCTGGAGGATCATTGCACGTTGAGACCAGCCTGGGCTACAAAGTGAGCTCAAGGCCAGCCTGAGCTACACAGCGAGACCCTGTCTCAAAAAGACCAAGAAAACCCCACAAACCAAAAAACAGAAATTGCCCTGACATACTGTTGCGTTTACCAAAAAAAAAAAAACCGTATCCCCTCCTTTTTTTATTTTTTCCTTTCTAGGATGTATTCATTGGATTTGGAGGAAATGTGATCAGGCAACAAGTGAAGGACAATGCCAAATGGTACATCACTGATTTTGTGGAGCTCTTGGGAGCGCTGGAAGAATAATGTACATTTTTGTGCACCTTGTAACAACTTTCGATCATCTTTTAAAAGTTAGAGTGATACTACTGGCTGCATTGCCAAGGAAGATTTGATAAAGTTGATTCTCTATATACTGACATGATAGGTCTCCTCGGAGATGGTGGGGTTTTAAAAAAATAGTTCAATATTTTATTATGACTGTTAATTACCTGGGGAATTTCATCACCCGAATTCTTACCTTTAACCTTAGCTATATTTTACTTGAAGCCTTTTAAAGGCGTATAATAAACTAAATTTTCACTCTTGGATAGTTGAGTGCTACAGCCTGAAGGGAACACAGGCAATCCTTGATATAGAAAGAAAAGTTTATCTCCATGGTCTGTGGGGTTTGGATTCTGCCTTTCATGCAGGGAACTGTTGGGGGAGGGAGGAGCTGAGATTTCTCGGCATGTTCCTGGACGTGGTGTCCCTGTCCCCCCCAGCCACCTTGGAAGCATCACCACCTGTCCCCAAGGCTCGAGGTCCACAGCACCTCAAGGATGTGGGGGGCTGGGGATGAGGAGGCAGTGGTGGCCAGCTCCAGCTCCCCTGGGGCCTCTGCCTGCCATGGAGCTCCCCTGGCTCTGGGCAACACCTACAGCTGGGTTCCCTCCTGAGCCTGGACTACAGGTATGCGCCTGGTGGCTCGATTCCGATTTTTAGTACTACACATCTGCTGTGCAGGAGGACTCCGTGCCGCAAGGTCCTCCCTGCACCTATAGCACCTTAATTCCTCTCTTCTCCCCTCCCTGCCCCGTCCTCTCTGTAGCCTTGATCCCTCCTCCCATGTGAGCAAGTTCAGGGCTTTTTGAGGCAGGGTTCCACTTTGTAGAGCAGGTTGGCATTGAACTCAGAGGGATCTTCCTGCCTCAACCGTTTCAGTTTTTAAATATCTACTCTCAGTGACAGTTCTGGGGCAGAAGTTCTTTTTTTGCCTTTATAAAAGAAAACGATGGAGCCTTAAAAGTACTGGCCTTGGTGGGAGAGAGTGGGGAGAAAAAAAGTACTGGTGTTTCCAGGTGTGGTGACCAATGTGTTATTCAGTACTCAAAAGGCTGAGGCAGGCCCGCTGCAGGATGGCGTGCACTACGGAACCACTGGCGAAGATCTTTAAAGGAGTTTTAGTAGCTGAACTTATGGGCGTTCTTGGAGCATATTTTTTGTTTAATAAGATGAACACAAGCCAAGATTTTAGGCAAACAATGAGTAAGAAATTTCCTTTCATCTTAGAAGTTTATTACAAATCCATTGAACAGTCTGGCATTTACGGAACCAGAGAGCAAGATCATGAAAAGTGGTTCAGTAGCAAAAATTAGGACCAGTCATCCCGCTCGGCCTCCCACCTGAGCTGCTTGAGACCTGTAAGAGAAGAGGAACACGTCACATGTGGGTGCTGGGGTCCCGCAGGACATCCTGCGGGGGAGCACGAGCTTTAGGCCACCCACAGCCTGCGACTTCCACCCACAGTTGTTGCTCTCTACTTTTACTGTGGGAAAACTAATGTTTTACAAATAAAACGCTTAAGGAAAAAAAAAAAAAAAGGCTGAGGCAGGAGGATCACTGTGAGTTCCAGGTCAGTCCTAACTGCATGGTGAGACTCTCTCTCTCAAAAAAAAAAAAGTTGTGGTCTTAAAAATACAATATTTAAAAAATACAAGTAGAAGATTTTCTAATCACAAAGGCCAGCTCTTTAACAAACTAAGAACTCCCAACAGCATGTAAATCCTGAGCGAACATGTGAATATTGTAGATGACTTGGAAAGACAAACCTACAAAGCTATTCCTGTTTTCTTTTGAACAGTAAGAAAAGAAATGACAGTAGGAGCTGTGAAAGCATGAGATTCTCCCCTCACTGGTGCCCAAAGGGGAAGGAAAAGACGGAGGTTAGCGAGAGTTATTCGGGCACACAGGTGGATAATTTAGGAGAAGAGGCCAGATTGCTGCTTGGGTTTGGGTTTGGGTTTGGTGGTGGGGCGGGGATCAAACACAGCTGCTCTAAATTACGTGAAAACTTTATCATTTAACCAAATACTCCATTAGCTAAGTAAATGAGATGCTCCAATTTCCTTCAAAATTGGTTTCTGAGCTCACCTGCAATCCCAGCCCCCGGGAGGCCAAGGCAGGTGGCTCGGAGGCTCAGCCTGGGCAGCTCAGCCACTGGAGAGACTCAAAATCAAAAGGGAGATCAAAATCAAAAGGGCTGGGGAAAAATTCCGTGTCTGTTGGAGATGCAAAATAAGGCTGGCAGCCATTGAATCACACACAAGCAGCCGTTTCACAGTTGTAAATGCCTCCGGGGCCAGCCGCCTCCCTGGCGCTGTGGGGTCTGCGGGGGTGGGACCCAGGCCTGGGGCTGCAAGACTGTGTGCCCAGTGCCCACCGGCAGGGCTGAGCTGGGAGTGCAGCCTGGCTGCGGCGATGTACGGGGATCACATGGGAGTCATGGTGCGGTGCCACTGGAACTAGCTTGCTTTTCTTTCTTGTCTTTCCCCACCTCCCTCATCCTCTTTCTTTCCTCCCTCCCTCCCTCCTTCCCTCTCTCCAAGGGCCTTCACACTGAACCACTTCTCTACCCCTTTCGAGATTTTGAGACCAGGTCTTCCTAAATCACTGAGCTGCCTACGCTGGTTTTCTGCACCTTCTGCCTCAGCCTCCCAGAGTGCTGGAATTTCAGGTGTGTCCAGCCTCCGTACAATGCACAGCGCCTCTCTGCACGCGAGCCGCGCAGCTCTGAGCAGACTGCCCAAAGCCGCCTGCCATCCTTTGTCAGGTCAGAGGGGTGAGTCTGAAATGTATGAGAAATTTACCAGTTATAGAACTGACAGATGTTTCCAGCTCCTTTGTGTCCCTGCTTTTCTCTCGTGACAAAGGATAAGGTTTTATTCAAAGCCAGCAGCAGAAGCGACAGTGTCCTCTCGTTGCCTCAGTGGCCAACTCCCGTGTTTAGGCCACAAGGACTTTTAGAGCTAGAAACAAGGAGTGTGGTGTAAGGGCCATGGCGTTCACCATGCTGCTGTGTGCCATCTGCGTGTCACCTGAGCTGTGGAGGGTCCCGAGTGGCTGCAGTGTCCCAGGGTGAAGTTCAGAGGCAGCCCATCATCTCTAAAAGATAAACTGTGTACAGTAAGTATGAGTCAGGGACCCACTATGTGGTTCAGGGCGGCCTTGAATTCACAGCAATCCAGAGGGCTGCGATGACAGCCCTGCACCATCAATTCCAGTTCAGTTTTTGAGACTGTACCTGACTAAATTGCCCAGCTGGCCTTCATTCTGCAGTCCTCCTGCCTCAGCTTCCTGAATGGCTGGGGTTTCAGCCGCTGACACAACAGTAAGCCCAATTTCTAAGTGAAAATTCCTGTTCTCAAAAATATTTCCCCCAGATCTGAGTAACTAGGTTACCCTTCCATATGAATTCTGCCATTTTTCTTAAATATATACCCACTTTGTAGCCCAGGCTGGTCTTGAACTCAACAGTGATCCTCTTGCCGCAGCCTCCTGAGTCCTGGGATTACAGGCATGTACCACCACGGCCAGGCAAAGTACTTTCATGTGTGCCTGGCACTGTGCTGGGCTGGGGAGGGAAGGCATGAACAGTCCTTGTTTCTGAGGAGTTGAAGGTGTAGGCACGACTGGGACAGGTGAAGGAAAACTTCTTTTCAGAAGCGCTGAGCAAGGCTTGGCGGCCAGGACACAGGCTCCCAGAAGCGCCACAGCAATCCTGCTGTGAGTGCACAGAGACCCCAAGCACAGAATATGTGAAAATTAGGAGGACTTTATTGACTTTGGTATTTTCTCGGAGGAAACCATTCACGTGTAAAAGGTTAACATCTGATAAGCCTTTTGCACACTTTATTTTACATGTCAATTCCTCAATTTGTGGGGGCAGACGTCATTTTTCAGTTCACGGGCACAAACATGATTATAGTCAGGAGATCGGCACACTAAATTAAAAAGGAAATCGCACAGAGTGAGACAAAGCACGCAGCTCTCTGCTGCTCGGCCCCGCAGCATGCACTGCCCTGCACGAGACCCTGGAGT